GAGTGATGAGGCAGAAACAGAGAATGTAAAGCAGAAACAGGTGTTCAGAGGGAAAAATTGGTAGAGGAGTCTTAATCTGAAAGTCAATTAGGGAGCTAGAAGTTCAGATTAAAGAGCTCTTCAAGAACTCAATGAGAGTAGAATTGAGAAAATATGGAAGGTCTGCTGAAAAGGTATGGAATAGAGGAATAAAAACATCAGTATCTACATATCTATACTTTTAAAAGATAATTTTATTTATATTTTTGGTATATCTGTTTGCCTTCATATTTGTATGTGCACCCTGTAAGTAAAATACCCTCAGATGCCAGAAGAGGGCATTGGATCTGTTTGAACTAGGGCTATTGACAATAGAAAGTCACCATGTGAATGCTAGGAATTAAACCCAGGTCCTCTACATGAGCTTTTTTTTTTTTTGGTTTTTCGAGACTGGGTTTCTCTGTGTAGCTTTGCGCCTTTCCTGGAACTCACTTGGTAGTCCAGGCTGGCCTTGAACTCACAGAGATCCGCCTGGCTCTGCCTCCCGAGTGCTGGGATTAAAGGCGTGCGCCACCACCGCCCGGCTACATGAGCTTTTAACAGCAGAGCCATTTCCCCAGCATTCAATATCTATATTTAGTAGAAATCCCAGCAAAGTAAAGGGAAAAAAACCCTCAAAGGAACAGAGAGCAATTCATTATTTTCAAGTATATATGAAGATGAAAAGTAGCTTACATACTGAGTCACAAAGGAAATCTGGACAACTTGCAAATTCCTCATTTAAATGTAAATAAGAATGAAAATGCAAAATATTTGACAATGGATAATGATGAAAGCACTTTATACTGAGCCTTGTACATGCCACCAAATTATATCAGGAAAGAAATAGATATATGTAAATTCTGTTATAAAGTAGCAATGAGAAAAAGACTCAATGGTGCTGGCTTTGGCAGCACGTATACTAAATGGGGAATGAGGCAGGAGATTTGCATGGCCTCCATGCAAGGAAGAAAAGACTAAATAAAACTAGTTACCCAAGTCAAGGTTGGAAAACAACACAGTGAACCCGGGAAGAATGGAAATCAGGAGGTTGTGAATCGGACAAGATACTAATAGCAGATAAAATGATAAGAAACAATGAAAGTGGTCAATAGAATACAAGCTGATTCTCAGAAAAAGAAGGAAAAAGACGAGCAATTTTGAAGTAAAATTGAAAATCAAACAATTATACAAGTAATTGGGGGTGTAACAAAAAGGTCTACCACATCTGACATAGGAAGATTATTGTTTTAGTCATGAGAGAAAATTGGAATAGCTTTATGTTAACAATTTGCCAAGTTTGACATGGAGGATATATTTTGGAGGCATATCACTGCAAAACTAATCAGAGGAGAAATAAAAAGGACTGAATTTAAAAAAAAACAACCCACTACAGATAATGAATCTGTGCGTGGCAAGCTCCTTCCAGAGTGCAGCCATGGAAAGAGAGGATGAGTAACTTCTACAATGGAGAAATCTGGGCACCCCTACAGCCAGGTGATAAACCTTAGAATTGAGGGGGAGGGCAGAAAGATGTGGGAGCTAGCGGGAAATGGGGGAAGGGGCCTCTCACTCTGGAGCTATTGAGCCTCTTTTCATAATGTGCCAAGGCTTTTAAAAATGTGTTTAATTTTTAATTTTTATTTTATTTACACATATATTATTTTTTCTCTTTTTTCCTTACAGGTCCTTTGCATATGCATTCTGGCTCCCACTTCAGTGTTTTTATGGGATTCCTGAGTGTGCAAACAAGTGGGTCTCTGTGCTCTATCTGCGTCTTGCGCCTCTTCTTAGCCCCTTTCCTTCTGTTGCTTTGCTTTGTCCTACTCCGATGTGTTAGTTTATTTTTAATATTGTTTTATTATTATCCTTTAGAAGCCTGTTTGTTTTCTAATGAGAGACAGGAAGGGGATGGATCTGGATGGGTGGGGAGGTGGGGAGGAGCTGGGAGGAGTGGAGGGAGGGGAAACCATGATCAGAATATATTATATGAGAAAAAATGTTTTAAATATAAGGGGAAAAAAAGAATTGCAGCATGACAAACACAATCTGCTGGGAGGTTACACAGAGACAATCCACCTTTTGTAAAGCAAGCTTTCAAATGGGAACATTTATAGTTAGCTATTAACCAATGGGAACGTTTATAGTTAGCTATTAACCATGCTTAAGGCCTAAGTTCCCATGACTTTCAAGGAGACCTTACTCCTTTCCCACATGGAAAACTTCAACTTGCTGGGAGTCTTTTTGAAAAGAGACTATACACTTGGTTTACAGTGAAAATGTCGTTGCCCTCTTGTGCAGCTCTTGTTACTTACTGTATCTATAATCATATCCAACAAGCCACCCTATGATCTCACTGAGCAAAAAACAAGGGGAGACAAATCTCTTAAAACTCTTTCCGCAGCCACGGAAATCCTATATATGGCCGTTCTTAAGACATCTAGGGAGTCTCTCTCTTGAGAAGTCCATTCTCACACTCAGGTGCACACTAAGCCCCTGTCTTTCTGTTAATAATCATGCTTAAATCTGTGTTGAAATCTTTTTAGAGGGTTATTTTATTTCTCGTTATGTGTACCGTAGGTACCTCTGTTGGGCATGTGCCCTCTGTGCTGGTGCCCTCAGAGGGCAGAGGCTTCAGATCCCTGTGGAACCGGAGATACAGACGGGTGTGAGCCACCTGTCCTGGGTGCTAGGAATCAAACTAGGTTCCTCTGCAAGAGCAGTAAGTGCTCTCCACCCCTGAGCCATCTCTCCAGCCCCTGAATGTCTTTCCTTAAGAACGCCAACTCTGCTTCACACTGACTGTTCTTTCCTGCAGTAGAGTCGAGAATCCCATCTTCCTCCCAGTACAGGTCTCTGAGGAGGATTCCTCAGTGCAGGGCTGTGTCTCCAGTTCCTGCTCCGGGTACTCCTGACAGGACAGTGATTTACCTCACATTAGGATGTGATGAAAAGGGCACTTTACTTCTCTCGCGTTCTTTCTCCGAGCCTTATAAATCCAGTCTAATGCAGAGAAGAGCACCAGGCAAATCCCTCTTGAGGGACAGCCCTCATAAAATGCCTGACCAACCCTTTTCAAAAGAAGTCATCAAAGGGGGAGAGGGGGAAGCCTGCAGGGTGGCTCTTCCCCCTCTCTGCTTCTCGGCCACCATCATGTGAACTGTTGTGCTCCGCTACACTCTCTCTGCCACGAGGGACCCGAACCTCTGAAACCCTTTCTCATGGTGTTTTGGTCAGACATCTGCCACAGTGATGGAAACACATTTCAAAAGGACTCTCACTAGTGTCTCACGCCATTGTTTGTTGCACTGAAGTTAAACATTTTAACCTAGCTAATTATCACCATTTCTTCATGTCCTCCTCCACGGCCCCAGTTCAAGAACCTGGTTGAAGTCTCTCTTGGGCAGAGGAAGTGTGAATTCCAGAGCCGCCAACAACTGCTTGAGGCTTTTCCCAAGCCATAAACCTGCAATTTTCTAGGAATCTCCCCAGAAATCCTGTCTGCAGGGAAAGGACTTGTGGCTCCTGGTTCCACCTTGTCAGACTGTAATTCTATTCAAGGTGCCTCCAGAGTCACCTTATGGAACTCTCAGAGAGAGACGGGTGGAGGGAGGGTTTCTTAGCAACCTCTTGAGGTGTGTAACTTGAGTTGCCAAAACGGTGTCTGTGGCTAATACTAAGACGATGAATTACTTCCTCTCACTAGAAGAGCCTGTCTTATTTCCCCATACGTTCTCTTGGGAAGCACATACCGCCACTTGGATGGGTTTTTCTCTTCTCTCAACCCTGAAGCCTATATTAAAATCCCTTCAATAACATTTCCAACTTTGCTTCACTCTATCTCTTAGTCCTGAGATTCTTTTCAGTGTTGAAGCTATGAGTTCTAGGTTGGCCTGGACCAAGGTCCCTAAAAATCTAGGGGAGCGCCCCAGTGTGTGGCAGTGTGGAGCTGTGTTTCTGTCCTCTGACAGCTGACAAAACTACCCAAAGTTCACACTTATTTAAAGAAAAACAAGGGCTCTGTGCTTTTCTTTTCTCTTTTCTTTCTTTCATTTTGTCTTTTAACCATTCTATTTCTTTAGTGTCTGCTGCTCTATTTAAGGCTGTTTATTTCTCCTTAAGCCAATTTTGTCATTGTCTACTATTTTTTAGAAGCTGACTTTTCTACTTGTTTAAAATTTACTGGTTAATGTATTTATAATGTCCCAATCCCCCTCCCCTCCCCATGCATGCTGTCTGTGCCTTCCTCCATCCCCACATCTTTCTCCTTCTCAATCAGTTCTTAAGAGAATTCAATTTCATTTTTTTTTCAACGATTCTCATTTCAGCTTTGCCAACCACTACCCCACCTCCCTGGACAAAGCACAACTGGGCTTTGTCCCTGATTCCCAACACAGCGCTGCTAAGGGTAAGACATGAGGATCACTTGTTACTCGTAGGGAATGGTTGGGTTATGTTTAAGTTTACACTTAAGACTGACCTGGTCCGGGGCCCCAACATTGCCAAAGATAGGATTATAAAATAAGAACATTCCGTCACACTCTGGGGGAGGAAGACTAATGAAGACTAAATGATTAAAAACTTCCCAGCAGTGAAACGTGGGAGCGAACGGGTTGGTTAATACCCTTACATTCTAGAAGAGTCACAGGAGGTGTGGGTGACCCTCCTCCTCCTCCCTCTCCCTGTGTGTCCTTGCACTTGGTTCTTCATCTTTGTGTCACTGATGATAACCCCCAATGGTAGCTAGGATGCTTACCCCAGTGTCCTGAGCTGTCCGGTGAAACCATCACAATGCGGAGCACCCCTCTCACTTCAAAAGGAGCAGGAGGCAGTGCATGCTTGAGCCAGCTAGGAGTGACGGTGACCCAGGGACACGGATTCAGGTTGTCCTGAATACTGTGTTCCAATGTGGGAAAGGTTTCATAATGGGTTTTATAGCTACAGAACCAGAGCAAGCCACGAATCGAAGTATTTTCCAATACCTCAGTGGGAAGGCTGGGTAGGGGTGTGACAGCAAAGCAACCAAACTCTCTCGCACTCCCAGATGCTCTCCGATGAGAAATTCTTAGTTTTGGTTGATGGAAGCGAGTGGTCTGCTAAGTTCATATATTCCAGAGATTTTTTTTTAACCTGGTAATCAAAAGAGCATTAAGTCAGACACAGGTGGGCAGTGAGTGTCTATTAAGGGGACTTAAACTAGTCTAAGAGTATCTTGGCTCTGATTGGCAATGTTCCGACTCATCACAATCATGGAATTCTAATCAGTCAATTAGCCTGGTAGACTCTTTAGACATACGTGTGCCTTGCCCCCCACTCTGCCCCTGGAAACTTCAGTTCACACTAAAATGAAGAGAGGGAGTTTGGATATCTCAGTGTTCAGCAGGTAGGTCAGACATGTTGGATGATCCAGCCTTGTGCATTTGAAAAGTGCTGGCGATCTTGTGACATGGAATCTTTACCTGAGGACAAGGCTGGGGAGGAGTGTCTATGCTGAGTGACTGTCAGAGCCACAATTCAGTGGCTCTCTTGTATATCCACTTAGTGTCAGTGACCTCAGGGCTGTCTGGCGAATGACACACATTTGGTGTCAGAAGAAAACCTGCACTCTTATCTGTTCCTTTTTGGCTTTTTAAAAATTTCTTGCTAACGGTTGGGATTGACTGTGTCCTGGTTCCTCTCTCCCCTGCCACTGTCTATCGATTCTTTCGTTATTGACATAGGGTCTCATGTGTGGGTGGTTTGTCCATATGTGTTTTCCACTTGTATGCAGTCCCTGTGCGAGCCAGAAGAGGGTGTCAGACCCTCTGAGGATGGAGTTAAAGATGACTGTGACCTGCAACGTGGGTGCTGGAAATCAAACCTATGTCCTCTGGAAGAGCAGCCAGTGCTCTTAACCACTGAGCCATCTCTCCAGATCCTATTTAATTTTTAAAAGGATGTTCTTTATTTTTTTGAGGATTTCATTTGTGGGTACTATAATTACATCATTTCCACCTCTTCCTTTTTCCTCTCCAACTCCTCCTATGCCCCCCCTTTCCCTCTCCTATTCATGGCCTCTTATTTTTGTTTTTGCACACACACACACACACACACACACACACACACACACACACACACACAGAGACACAGCCTGCTGAGTCCATTTAGCGTTGCTCCTATGTGTATATGTTGATGATTTAGGATTGGATAACCTCTCTAGGGCCTTTTCCCTAGAGAAGACTGATTCTTCTCCTCCCGGCAGCCATGGATGAATTATCTGCTGCTCTTCATCTAGGGGCAGGGCCTTATGAGATTTTCTCCCATCCATACTGGCATGGTCTTGTTTAGGTGACCCTATTTGTGAGATGGAATCATTCTGGAAGTTAGCCTCACCCTGAAGCGAGGAAGCAAAGGGTATTCAGTAAAAGAACCGAGCTACCAGCAGCACACAGGATGGGAAGGAGGGCAGGCCAGGGACCTCTCCGTGTCTGAGACTCTAGGTATGACAGTGCATTCACACCTTTGCACTCTCGAAACCCTGTGCCTGGTCAATCCAAAGTGCCTCTTCAGCTTATCCTGCTCTGGTGGTGCCAATCCAAGCCCAGTGGTGCCAATCATCTACTTTTCAGATGAAGCCTGAAATAAAGGTAATTATGTAAAATTTGATTTTTTTTTTTTTTAAAAGAATTTCGCTCTTGTAGTCCAAGGTGTCTTGGGACTTGTTATGTAGCCTAAGTGTGGCTCTAGTACATGAGGGCCCTCCTGCCTCAGTCTCAAAGGGCCGAGATTATAGGTTTGAGCCACTATTCTTGGTTCTAAATTTTTAGCGTTCTTGAAAATGTTGAGCAAACACAGATGACAATGAGGAGCAGATGCTGATCCTAATTAGATGTCTCCTAGTCTTTCTTAGTCACCTTTCTGTTGCATTGAAGAGACACCATGACCCAGGCAACTGTTATAAAGGAAAGCATTTAATTGGGAGCTTGCTTACAGTTTCAGAGGTTTAGTTCATTATCATTATGGTGGGGAGCATGGTGGTACCTATGTGCTGGAGCAATGGCTGAGAGATTTACATCCTGATCCACATGTAGGCTGAGAGACAGAGATACTGTGCATGGCACGGGCTTTTGAAACTTCAAAGCCAACATCTGGTGATATACTTTCTCCACCAAGCCATAACCACACCAACAAGGCCACACCTATATGAGCCTACGGCTCTATTCTTATTGAAAACATCACATGTACTATTCTGCACTGTTTTACTGGTTATGAATATGAATTCTCAACAAGTGGGTTTCTAAAGACTCACAGGTTGACAAACTGACTGGATTTATAACTTTCCAATTTGTAAAAGTGTTTAGAGGAAGAGATGTTTAAACTGTAAAATCTCTCATTCTTGATTTAACAATTTAAGATTTAGAGATGAAAAGGAATCCTAAGAAATTATAAACAGATTTACTGGGCCAAACCCCTGGGCAGGACTGTCCATGGAAGTGGCAATGTCCATCTGCATATGGCACTTTTATTTTCCCAGTAAACTTAACAGTTTTGTGTTATAGGCAATAAGAAATTTACAGTTCTTCTTCTTGGGGCTCAAGTGTTCTCTAGCCCCATAAGGCAGCTTTAAAAAGATTTTCAAAGTATTTGCTGTTCATATTCCATTCCTTTGTTGTTGGCAGGGTTCTTGTCTATTTTTTTTTCTACCTGCTTCTAGAAAGCTCAGGACTCCAGCTTTCCTAAATAAGGCACAGCTCATGTATTTGTGAGTTAGAGGGACAATTTCTGTAACTCTTGAAGGATGTGCTTCAGTGAGTAGGAGAAGGAGGAGATGGAGCAGGTGTAAGGCACAAAGGCCTCAGAGACCAAACCATGCTCGGTGAAGGTGGCAGTGTACGTACTTGCAGAGGCGGCATTTGAAGCTGGACAGTAGATCTACATTAGCTTCCAGTATACACTCCTTGGCTCTTTATCCTAAGCGTTTCTAGCCTGAGGCACCAGCCTACCACACAGATAAAGACACAGCCCACACTGGCCACCAGCTTTGATGAGACGACCTTAGTTGAAATACATGTTCTGCTACACAGAGCGTGACCTTCCCTACCCCCATCAATGGGTCAGTTTCCAGTGTCGGTAATGGGTCATTACCTACAGCTAACAGCAGTATTGTGTCATCCACATCATCCAAGTATGATACAGTAAGATATATTGAGGTAGTAAGAGAGAGATCACATTTACATAATTTTGATTGTAATATATTGTTAGCAGTGTAATATAATGTAATATATTGTTAGCAGTGTCCAATTGATCATTAGCTGTTTTGGTTGGTATCTTACTGTGTCTGGTTTACAAAACAGACTTTAATATGGGTATGAATGCATGCACATGAAAACAAATAGATGTTCTTTAGCTTATGGTGAATTTAAGTCTCAACAAACCCATTGCAAACTGAAAATATCATGAGACATAAATATATTGATTATAACTAACTTATCAAGTGTCCAAGCTTAGCAGCATGGTGAATTGCAGAGCATTGGCTCTGTCCCTCCCCTTTCTTCTTCTTTTAAAAAACTATTTATTTGCTTATATATGCGTGTATGTTTATACGTGATAGATGCGTGTCTGTGGAGGCCAGAGACATGAAATTCCCCTGGATCTGGAGTTATAGGTGGCTCTAAAATGCCTGAGGTGGGTGCCAGGATTCAAACTCTGGTCCTCTGTAAGAGCAGTATGCATGTTTAACTACCAATACATTTCTCCATCCTCTCCCCTGCCTTTTCTGAGATGGGGTCTCACTGTATAGCCCTGGCAGGCCTGGAACTCACATTATAGAGGAGGCTGGCCTTGAGTACACAGAAATCAACCTGTTTATGCTTTCCAAGTGCTGAGCCTTTTTTTTAAAGAATCACTTTTATTTGCTATTATTACCCCATTGTGTGTGAGGGCAGATGCATGTGTGCCAAGGCATCCGTGTGGTGGGCATAGGTCAACTTTTCAGAGCTCCCTTCCACTGTAGATTCCACGGATCAAACTCAGCTCATCAGGCTTGTTCAGCAAGTACTTTTACCCACAGAGCCATCTCACTTGTCCAGGTTTCCCCTCTGAGTGTGAGCATGCCACTACACAAGAGAATATTGTACTGCATGTGGCCCATGCAATGGTTTCAAAATTCAAAGTATGGTTTTCTCAGAATGGGTATTGCTTTCCACGATCATAAAATCTAAAACTAGTAGGAGGAAGCATGGTGTCGGGGGCTGCTGGTAGAGAAGGAGTGGATACTTGGCCTGGTTTCAGACACTCACTAGATGTCTGGGAATATAAACCCCACAGAGAAGGTGGGAATAGTGTTTGGAAAGTTGTTCAAGTCCTAGGATTCCAAAGACCTCATTGGGTTCTCACCTGGAGGTATATTACCTGAAAGAGACATGAGAACTGGAGGCTGGGTGGATGGCTCAGTAGCTAAGAGCATTTGCTGTGCAAGCATGAGGACCCTGGTTTGAATCTTCAGTATCCACATTAAAAAAAAATCCAGGGATGGCTGAACCTGTAACCCCAACACTGTGGGGTGTAGAGACAGGAGGTTGGCCGGGATTTGTTGCCTGGCGCAAGATTAGGTGACATACTCTGTCTTAGGGGAATAAGACAGTGATAGTGTAGAGTAGGGCACTAGCATCCTCCTCTGATCTTCTCCTGGATACAACACACACACATGCTGGTGAAACTGTCCACACATAAGCATCTCCCCATACACACACACACACACACACACACACACACACACACACACACACACACGTTGGTTTAACCACACACATGTGTGTTCGTGTGATGGCATAACTGTGCGTGCATATGTATCTCCCACAACATACATATTGTGTGTATAGATGCTGGTGTAACTTCACACCCATATGCACAGATCCGCCCCACCTACAGAAGAAACCACAGTACTTTCTATCATGTTGCAACTGTTTCAGGTTTCACAAATGGGATTTCAGCTGGCTGTGGTGGTACATGCCTGTAACTCAGGAAGCTGAGCAGGGGAGGCTTTCCATGAATTCAAGACTGGCATGGGCTTCAGAGTGAGACCTTGTCTTGATTTGCCCTGTCCCCTAAAAGGCATTTGCTCTCACCACTACTTTGAAATCACAGTAATT